ACCCGGCCGGGCCTCTTGAGGCCTCGTGTACGGGGAAGGGTTCTCTGGTAAAGACCGGTTTGGAGGGCGGGCCGACAGAATAAAATAGGCCCTCCCCGCCAGGGTCGCGAAAATAATGGGCCCCATATTCTAGGATTAGGTCCAGGCCCCTTGAGGAGGAGGAAGAGGCTGGCTGGCAGTGCTGTATGCCGCCCTTGGTGCCCGACTGCGCGATGGTGCCCAGGTTGGTGATCATCTCGGGCGGATCTTGTCGAGCGCGTCGATAGAGTTGGAGATGAGCTCGCGGAGGAAGATCTCCTTGTTTGTGAGTAGAAGGTGTTGGTGATGAGACTCATCAGCTGGTTGATCTCAGCCTGAAAGGCGAACGTCTCGACCTCCTCGCCGGCAGACATTTTTGGTGGCGCGTTGAGAGTAGCAGACGACGTAGCAAGGGGAAGCGTCTGGAACAAGGCCACAGAACGGAGTTCTCAACGCTCGCCGAAGTTTTTTTTCTTTTTCGGGCGTCAGCTTGGAGAAGCGCAGTGTGATGCTTTCGGTGAGGCTCTCAAGCTATCCGTCGCCCCAAGCCCCGTGTTTGGGCGGTGGATGCCGTACGTGCTCGGCACGGCAAACGCGCTCATGGTCGCTGGATCAGGAAGGCGAGCGCCTTGACGCCGTTGGGCGGCCCCTCCTTCTCGCAGCGCGGTGCACTCCAACTCCACTGGCGGTCTGAGAGATTTCGCTGTCTAAATTCTTTTTTCGGATGCCGCCCGTCTCCGACCTCTACTCTGAGCAGAGCACTTCTCCAGTCCCCAAACAGGGCACGCTCGCTCAGATTGCGTCGCACGAGCGGTGGCTTCGCTGCCTCGCCGCCTGCGAGCGGCTGGATGCTGAGATGGACGACCCGGACGGCGTCAAACATCGAGAGGCGACACGCTTCATCGCCGTCTCTCAGTTCGCCTCGGGAGCGTGGCTCGACCTCTGCCCCGACGGCCGGCACTCCTCCAAAATCACCTCGGAGATTTTTGCCACGGCGCTGCAGCGTCGCCACGGCTACTACATCTCCAGCGCCAAGTACGTGTACGACGCCAAGGAGGCGGCTGGTGAGACAGTCACCATCGGTATGCGGAAGGGCGACCAGCTTGCAAACGGATCGAAGGACATTCCGTGCGAGCACAACATTCGTCACAACGGCACCATGTATGCGGCGGCCAACATGGTCCGTGCACGAGCCTGCGGCAAGCTCGTGCTCGGTGACAAGGCGAACCCTCAGACGACCTTCCATCTCAACGAGGGGCACGTCACCGACATGTGCGAGATCGGCGGGGACCTGCAGTCCCAGCGCGATGTCCACTACGGCTTTACGAAGTCAAGGTGCCTAGCGCCCTCACAAAGACGAGGCAGGCTGGGCAGGGCTCGGCGGCACACGGCGGATGCTGTGCGTCACTGGGCCACAAGTTTGGTTTCGGCAACACCCTCGACCAAACCTTGCTCAAGGTTCTTGGGTGCAAAGAGCGCGGCCACAAGTCACAGGGCCCGCTCGTCCATGCGACCGGTAAAGGCTGGGTCAAAGGGCACAAGGGACAGTACTACGACGCGCTCCATGTCAAGAACGGAATCGTCAAAATTTGTCTCGTCGAAAGCCAGGGCGGCATCGCCCCGCCAACCAAGAGAATCATCCACAACTTCGCCAAAGAGGTCAGCAGCCCGAGCGCCGTCGACCGCACCGACTACGGCACAGCCTCCGGCAGCGCCCGGGGCTTTGTCCAGCACCACTCGCAACAGCTCTCGCGCGCCGCCGTCTGTGGCGACGCGCAAAACATCAACAACGCTGCTCGCAACATGCGTGTCGCGCACTCATTCATGACCGGTCTCAATGCCCCACCCCCCTGCGCGCGGGCCTTCTAGGCCCGCGGGTAGTCTCCCCCCATTCCCAGGGCCTCCAGGGCTCGCACCTCAACCTCTCACAGACCAGCGCACAGCGCCATAGGACGTATTTTCTTCTCAATAACAAGGCTGTGTGAACGGCCTCTCGCGACGGCCGATGGCGACTGGCCGGCGCTCTCGGCGGGCGAGTTTGTGGCGCACGCGCTGCGCGTAGGCGGCGCGTGGGCGGGTGGCCCGCCCCGCCGTCGGTGAGCACCGGACGCGAGGGTCGGTCGGTCGGCTCCTAACTCGCTGCAACCTGCATATACATAGTAGCGATGAGCTCACTAGCTAGAGCTCACACTAGAGGCCGTCATCGCATTCGCCCTGGGACCCAGCGCTGACTTCTGACTGTCGTTGCTGTCGATCCCTTTCTCGACTGTCTGAGCTTGTGCGTCTTGGGTCCGTGGTTGTTTT